TGAGGTCTCGCTGCCCAGGCGGGTCTCGAACCCGCGGGCTCAGGCAATTCACTCACTTCAGCCTCCCAAAGGCGCGGGATTACAGGCCGAGCCACTGAGCCTGGCAACAGAGACTTTTAAATATCCTGGTTTCTTCTGGGAAATGAGGAGTATCTAGAAAACAACAATCATCATATGTCAGACTTATTTTGTGAGGAGAAAAATAAGTTCTTTGTTTATGCATGTTATTGTGTGATTTCACTGAAGAATCATTCCTGATCACTTAGAGAAATAATTAATACAAATAAAATCAATTAATAATGATAAAGATACTAAAATAAACCTACAGATGGAAGAGCTTACAGGTAATTAACAAATATTTAGACAGAGAATGGCAGACAGACCATTTTATAATGCAAGTCTAGTGACCATCCTGAAGAGGAGTCTCTGGAACTCTCTCAGGACAGGATGAACTCTTAAGTCTCAGGAAGTATAGTGGAAGGACTGAGTCACAGTACATTGGGGAAGAGACTGGTATATGTGTCTAAGATTCAAAACCAATTCAGGACCATGTAACATTTTCTTGAAGCTGAAGAATTTGATGGTAGGAGAGATGTGCAGTCAGGTGTGGTAAGGGGAATTTCTGGGTAATAAATCATACACTGTGGTAGCTGCTTAGCACATCTTGTTGCCTGCCTGCTGAGGCAGGACTAAGTGAGACTCAGGTGGATCCAGCTCAGCCTCTTCCAACTCCATAGTTCACCTGGGGGTGAAGATTCTCAGGAGAGTCAACACTGGTCCTTCTCTTCTCTCTGTGCCCACCATGCAGCCCTGTGGCAGCCCATGATGCCTCCTGTGTCTCTGGTTCTGGATCAGCTGTCTGGGTCCCATATGTGTGACCAAGCACTGTTTTCTCTGAAATTCTAGGCTTTTATGATCCAGGAGCACAAAACTCAGGAAGTTCACTTAACAGAAGGGAAGGTGCTGAGAGAAGGAGTGATAATCCCAAGGTAAACTGAGGAAGAAGAGAGAAAAGCATAAGAATAATCCCTTCCAATTTCACTGGGACAAGCCTAGACTAGGGGAGGGCATGTGAGAAAATCCTTATGAAAAATTTTTGGATTGTGATGGAGAAGCTTTTCTCTGTCAGTTCTTCCAGATGCCTTCAGGGGCATCTTGTTGCCTTGACATGGGTGGGTCAGGGACTGGGAACAAGGCCATCCATTAACGGATGCTTGGGTTTATTCCACCATTTTAGTGCTTGGAGGAAAGCTACTATTTCATATTCATGTACTTGTTCTGTGAGTCTCCCTGCACCAGGCCAGGCTGATCAGAAAACCCAAAACCAAAATAGTTTAGATTGGAAGCAACTAGAGTGACCTTTTCAAGTTTTGCTGTTGTTTGGATTGTTTGTTTGTTTGTTTGTTTTTGAATAAGAGTCTCTATGTTTAATCATTTAAGGAATAGCCAGGCCATTTTCTAAAGCAGCTATCTCACTGTACATCCTCATAAATGGTGTATGAGGGTCCAATTCTCCCCATCATCATCCACACTTGTGGTTCTTGACTTTTTTATTCTAGGCCCCCTAGTGGCTGTGAAGCGGTATGTCAAAGAGGTTTTGATTTGCGTTTCCCTGAAGACTGATGATCAGCACTCTCACTTGCTTGTTGGCCATGTGCTTATCTTCCTGGGAGGAAGGTCTATTCAGCAGTCTTTCTCATTTTAAAATGACCTCTTTGTTATTAAGTAATAATAATTCTTTATGAACTAGACACTGTAGCTCACACCTGCATTTCCACACCTTTAGGAGGCTGAGGCGAGAGAATTGCTTGATCAGAGGAGTTCAAGACTAGCCAGAGCAATATAGTAAGACGTCGTGACTACAAAAAAAATGTTCAGATCAGCCAGGTGTCATGGTGTGTCCCTGTAGTTCTAGCTTCTAAGGAGGTTAAGACTGAATGGTGGCCTGAGCCCAGAGAGTTCAGTCTACAGTGAGCCACAATCGTGCCACTGCACTCCAACCTGTTCAACAGTGAGTGAGTCCCTGGCTCATAAATAAATAAATAAATAAATAAATAAATAAATAAATAAATAAATAAATAAATAAAATTAGTTCCTTTACTTAGTAGATATAAGTCCCTTGTTAGATATATGACTGCCGAACATTTTCTTCCATTCTGTAGGCTGTCTTTTCGCCTTCTTTGTGGTGTCTATTGAAGAATAAAAGTTTCATTTAAAGAATTTCTATTTTTTAAATTGTTCTGCTAGTGCTTTCATATCACATCCAGAATTCCTGCCCTAATAATTCTTCTTTAAGGTTTACTCCTGGGACTGTTCTAAAAATTTTGTAGTTTTTGCTGTTACACTTAGGTGTTTGAGCCATGAAGTGGATTCTTACACATGGTGAGAGGCAGGGTCCACCTTCATTCTTTGGCATGGCCGGTGAGATGTCAAAGATTCTCTACCATGCTGCATGGGTTATCCTGAAGAGGGATCTGGATGGATTCCTCAGTGTCCACCCACTCCGCTTTATTTTGTTCAGAATAACAGCTTGCCATGGGATCCTAGAGTCTCAGGGGCTGAGCTGAGTTGTCACTTCTAGGGACTGTTTCAGGGTATTTGGGCCAAGAAGTGGCCTGTTTCCACTGCCTATGAAAATCCAGAGACCAGCAGGTGAATGTCTTTCTCTGTATGATCTACCAAATAGGCCCTATATCGTGGTTTAATTTAATCCTCATAATGAGAAATTTACTTGGTTGTTTGATAAAAGACCTTCCCCTCTCTCTTAAATATATTTTATGTTCACATTTTGATGCACAAAATTTCCACAATTGAAATAATAATTTTTAGGATTTCTCAATATAAAATGGATTTCTCGTAGTAGTTCTGAATCTTGAACTGTGTTCAAAGACTGTGACTGAAGTGATCCCAGTGTTGGCAGGGGCCAAGTTGTGATACTTTACAGTCAAAGTCATGTGGGTTGGTTACCATAATGCATAGCTGAGCTGAGGAAGGAATCAGAATAATCTTATGAGATCATGGGTATGGTCTATTTGATCATAGTGTCCCTAGTTCTAAAGCAGATGAGCAGCCTCTCCCTCCTTATTTTTCTGTATGAACAGAATGCTCTGTCTGAGAAAGACTGATGAGGCTATGTGTGGGACCTTGGGACTCACCATTGGACCTAAGCTGACTATGAGCTGGGTGTGACCTGACCCATCAGCCCCAGGGGGGAGGGTGTTATCAGTGGTTCTAACCTCACATGGAAGGAAGGTATCTGAGATCTGAGGGACCAGATCAGGGTGCATAAGTCAGTAGCATGAAAAGATGACCAAATAGATATGACTCAACCCCTGCCCCATAACCTTCTCTCTCAACTCACAGCCTGGGTACCCTGAGGAACTCCTGGGACCAGCTGACTAAGGAGAAAACACTCAGATTTGATTCACAGAAGTCTCTGTGGGACATGCAGACAACCCAGTGCTGGACAGTACTAGTTCCTCCTCTGCCTCTGGGACATCTCTGGACAACAGTGGTGGAAGAATATTTCTCTAGAGTGGCAGAACTTTGAACAGTGTACCCAGTCAATGTTCCATGACAAGAGAGATGGGAAAAGGTTCCTCCTTCATGGGCTGTGACTCATAGTTTGACTGAATGATCAGGGACTTGGGAGAGACTCAATTAAAGGGTTAATGTGAAATGCCTGGATAAAACAGATGTGAAGAGGTCTCCCCAATGCAAAGAATATGAAGAAATCTGTCTCCTATACAATTATTTAGCAGAGTCTAACCTGAGAAGAAAGTCATTTTAATAATCAGGTGGGTAGGATGACTTGCTCTGTGGATACCAGACAACCTCCTTATCCAACCATAGCTGTCATTCCCAATGGGTTCTATGCCAAAGTGCCCACGGTGGCAGGGATGTAGGCTAGCCATGAGCTCATCAGTGTGAATTTCCACTCACTAGAGCTGACCTGGCTGTAGCCACTGTGAGTGACCATCTGCCAACTGCAGAGAGCAGCACTGAGGTCATTTATGATACCTTTTTTTTGCAGAAAATAGTTATGTGCCTGGTTGAGATTAATTTTGTTAGATGTCTTCCATCAAGGCACGGAGAGTTATTTGCTCTTATTTTAATAGACACTTGTTTTAGATAAGGATTTGCTTTCATTGACTGCAAAGTTTCTGCCAAAACATGTTCTTGGACTTCAAAATGCCTCACCTATCTTTAAAATGTATTTCATAAGGAGTCTCTTATCAAACCACTTATTTCATAGCAAATAAAAGGCCACAGTGGTCCCATCCTCATGGAATGCCATGGTTGTAACATGTTCCCCAATAAACTGGGCCTTTTTTGCCTGCATGGATGTCTGCCTCTGTCATTCCACCTTCCACTTAGACCCTCCATCCAGAACTTACACCCCAGCCAAGGATATACAAAACAGGCTGATTCCAGCCTCAAACCTGCTCGTGAATTTTCTCTGCAGAACCTTCATGGAGGGCTAGAGGGAAGAGAAGCTTGGAGATCTCAGATTCAGGTGAACTGGGCCGGCCCTGCTCAAGGCTTTGTCCACAGTCCTTCTAGGACTGGAAGAAGAGAGTGACACAGGGTTTGTGTCTCAAACGCAAGCCTTGGGGAAAGGGTTTGTTTTTCCCTTCTCCATCTGCCTGTGTCACTGTGAGAAGCTGTGCCATCCCCAGACAGATAGTGATAGTCAGCTTCTTCCTTGGCCTGGGCCCTGCTAGTGATTAGGGTGATCATTGTCCTCAAGCTGGGCCCAGAGAATCACTCAGGGATCCCTGAGGTGGCTCGCAATTTTATGTACCACCAACATAGAGGTCTGGCCTAGTTTCTGCTGGTACCTGGAAAGCAGTACATTTTTGCCAGTATATGTTCAAAGCAAGGGATCGTGGCTATCTATCCTGGGAACAATGACACCGAGGGCAGCTGTGTTAGCTCACAGGAGGACACAGAGCCTGCAAGGAAGAATAGGTAGCTAGAATGAAGGACACTTTTCCAGGAGTCCCACCCTGGGGCTGTGTCTGGGTTGAGCCCAAGGTTTGGGGACACAGCAGCTGGGGATCCTGTGGGGGTCAAGTCTGGGGCAACATCTGCACAGAGAGTGAGGTGGGTAAGCATGAGAGGGACCCAGGCCATGGTGAGACACTTTGAGCTCTGTCTCCTGAGCCCACAGCACAGCTGGACTCCCAAAGTTTCACTTAATCCCAAGGCCCTGTGGGGAATTAGTATTTGGTGTTTATGTGAATGTACATCCTCTGGGGCTCCTCATGGAGGAATGTCACTCAAACCAGATGTGGGGAAAGCAAAGGAGACTAAGGCAGAAGGGTGGCTTCCCCAACTTCCTCCATGTGCTTCTCTGTCAGAAAATTACCATAGTACCCAAGGCCTGTGATCACAGTCACCTTCCTAGGGATTGACACCATGCCACTGCTCCAACCTCCAGCCTGTGGTGTGTTGTGGGACAGCCTCAGCAGGGTGGTGACCCTCCAGGATCCTGGTCATGAGGTTGAGCTGGACCTTTCTGAGAGAAAAGAGATGAAACTTGACTCAGCACAGGTGGAACACGGCCCCATCATCTTTCTCCTCCTTCATCTCCTCTTTGGATCCCCCAGACTCACTTTTGTTTCCATTTTTGTCATTTCATTAGAATATGGCTCTGCATCTTTAGGATTATGGTTAATCATTTTCTATATTGTAGATTGCTTGTTGAACAGTCACATACTTTAGTGGATTCATCACCATGTCTAGTCTCATTTCACATGTGGTCTTGTTCCATGACATCCCTTATTCCATATTAGACTAGCAATTGTTTTCCTCAGCTCTTCTGTTTTTTATTTTCTCATCAGTGTTTTTGCAAACTTGCAAAAAGCACCAAAATCCCACACTTCACTGAGAAACTAACTCTGTGTCCAGTGTCTCTGTGAGAGTCTAGGGTCACAATCTTTTAATAGGGTGTGAGCTCTGGTGGGTGAATGGTTCATTTTCCCTCAGTCACAGAGATCCTGTCCATGACACAAATAAAGCTCAGTAGTCAGAGCTGTAATCTGAGGTACATAGAATCTATTTCCCTCTGAATAGTCTCCTCAAGGAGGCTATGGATGCCTCATCCAGGGACCACAGCCCTAAATCCTTGCCTCTCCCCCCTGAGACACAACTGAGCACAATAGCCATCTATGTCCTCCATCTATGACATTTCCCACCCCACAGTATTCTAGCAATTGCATCCTCAACTCTTCCATTCTGTATTTCTTCCTCATAAATGTTTTGCGTAAGCTGGCAAAAAGCACCAAAATCCCAGACTTTACTGAGAAACCTACATTAGGGTCCCAAGGACTTGGTCTCTGCACAGGGGTGAGCTCTGGGGGGAGGCTGCAGATGCTCCTTCCAGGGATCAGGGCCCTGAATGTCCCACCTCCTGCCTACCTGAGACTTATCTGAGCACAGGAGCTACAGTCTGAGGTCAGAGTCTGTAGGAGGTGGAAGGACAGGCAGAGGGGGAGGGGTTGGGCATGTCTTGAAGTGCAAGGACAGAGGACTCAGCTCCCAGGAGCTTCTGGACAGGAAGAGATGATACCCTGAGAGGGGCAGGAAACTCAGGCAGCCAACCTGGGTGAAGGTCATGGGCCTTGGAGCACCAATCTCTCACACTGTGCTCCCCTCCTAGAGTACCTCAACTTTGGTGTGTCTCCCAGTGAGTCCCAGCAGCTGCCAAAACTGATTCCTGGACCTAGGTTCCCCCAGTTGCATTTTTCTGGTAAGGTTGTCCATGTTCCTGGGCCCCTGTCTGTCTCCTGGGGTGACATTGTGTGAGTCTCACCCTCAGGACGTTGTCACTGCAGCCTGAGAGAATGGAGAAAACGGTTCCAACTTCCCATCTGAGGACTGAGCCTTGGGCACCAGTTGACCCCCAGGCTGGCTTCCCTCCTAGCCTCTACCTGGTAAGCCCCAGCCTCTCTCCTGGCTGCTCCTGACAGTAGCTCTACTGCCCTTTAATAGTGGAAATGACACAGCCCATGAGCTCCCTTTCTCCAGGTGACCTCACAGAACCTTTCACCTGAGAGGGAGGCCACCAACGAGTCCTGCTTTCCTTTGTGGAGTTGTGACCAACTTTTCCTTGTCCAGACTAGCACAGAGAGATCACACATGTTGCATCCAGGTAGGCAGGGCAGGAACAATTCCTGTAAAGGTGTCCCAGGTTGAAATATCATCATTTGTCCTTGGCTTCTGTTGTAATTAGAGAGAGCCACATGCAGTTCCTCTGCAAAGGGTCAAGGTCCAGAGACACATACATCACATCATATAGGGACCCAGGCTTCCTGCAAACTCAGGAACCAAAACTGATGCCACCTTAGAGAAGCTGCATGCTCAGTGGGGACCTGACTGTTCCTGATTCTAAGCTTTGTTGTGAACCAGCATCACCATCAGCAGAGCCATCAATATCACTAGTATTTGTGTTTCATCCCCACCTCTCAGAGCTCGGACTGGGAGATTTTTTCCACCAGTCTTGTTACCTTTTGATGAAACTGGGAGTCTCTTGATTATCCTGAGCTGGGCGCTTTTGTTCCTATCATCCAGAGTAGATATACCTTTGAAATCCTTGTACTGGGATTCTTGCAGAGGAAGGACATGAGTCTCCATGTCTGAAGCACATTCTCTGAAACCCCTTCATTAAAGCTTTAATCACAAGACTTTCAGTGCTTTGTTACCACCCCTTCCCTCTCCTTCCAATCCAGTCTCCGGACCTTCCTCATGCACTTGGACTTAATGTGTGTGTTTCTCATTTTCCTCCAGTTCTGATGTTGGGATCTGAGTATCAGAGGCCATTGGGGGAGGAGGGAGAGGCCAAGGACATTTCTGGAGCTGTGCATCAGCATCTGCTCACTGGGATGCAGGAATATGATGTGAAAACTGTCCTGAACTTATACCATGATTTTGTATCTTCTTTAATGTAGGTTTTATAATGCAACATATAATGGGCCTTCTTTTGAAATTCAACCTGAGAAAAACTTTTAATTATGGTATTTAGACCATTTCCAATGAATGTGACTATTGTTATAGTTTAGATATGACATCTTGACATTTAGTTTCTCTGTCTCATCTGTTATTTGTTCCTTCATTTCTTTTATCTTTTAAAAAATTGAGTATTGATTTAGTTTCATCTGGATTATTATCTACAAATCTTTTCCATCTTATCATCTGTAACTCATCAAAGCCCACATTCAGGTAATTTTACCCCACTTCTCTTGTGATTTAAGAACCTACAATACATGTCAATCTCTCTTCTTTCAACTTTTTCTTGCATAATAATTGTCAGCATTTTACTTTTGCATTCATTACAAGTTATTTTTTTGCTTTATACAGTGAATTATGTTCTAAACAGATTTAAATGATAAAAACTCAACATTTACCACTATAACTGCTACGTATAGGTCTTTTTACTAATTTTTCTAGATTCCAGATCTATCTGAGATTATTTTTCTTCTGCTTTATTTCTTATATTATGAGTCTGTTGATAATTCTGTCATCATTTGTACATCCAAAATATTTTTATTAAGCTTTCATTTTTAAAGACATTTCGCTGGGTTAGAAAAAAAAAAGATTTATTTTTTCTTTCAGTATTTTTAAGATGGTAATCCATGTCTCCCTGCCAGCATTTATTCTGTTTAAGAATCTGTTGTCACTCTTTTCCCCTGAATAAAATGCATTTTTTTCTCCAGCTGCTTTTAAGACCATTTCTTACTTATTTGTTTTTATTTTGTTTTGTTTTGATTTACTATTTAATTTATTTATTTTTGTTTTTAAAAATTCATTTTACAAGCCGGGCTCGGTGGCTCAGCCTGTAATCCCGTGCCTTTGGGAGGCTGAGGTGAGTGGATTGCCTGAGCCTGCGGGTTTGAGACAGGCCTGGGCAGGGAGACCTCATCTATACAATAAATCAAAAAATCAGCTGGGTAATTCCTGTAATTCTGGCTACTCAGAAGGCTTAGGTGGAAGGATCGCCGGAGTCCAGCAGGCGACTGCACTCCAGTCTGGGCGACAGAGTGGAGCAGTCAACTCAAAAAAACAAAAAAAAATTCATTTTACATTTCTCTTATTAGAGGTTTGTTGAACTTTTCAACTGTGAATGTAAAGTTTTCAATAAATTTAAAATATTTGGTTATTCCTTATTAAATAGTTTTCTGTTGCTCCACCCCATTTTATCTCCTTTAGGAATGTAAATTACATCCTTACTACTTTGCTTTAAGTCATCTCTGAGCTTTTATTCTCTGGTGTTTTAATTTGTTGCAGCTTTCTTTTATATTGCAGTGTCTGTTATATCATCAAATTGTCATCTTTTCTCAGAATTGTCATATCTTCTGTTAATCTTACCACTTGTATTTTTTATCTGAGACATCACAGTTTTCATCTCCAAAGTCTGATTCAGATCATTTTATTGACCTTTGTGCTTCCACTTAACATGTAAAAACATTCTGAGTAAATCTGGAATAAAGACTACACCATCAATTCTCATCTCAATATCCAGACATTGAGCTTGCCCTTTGGATTTCAGACTTGCCAGTCCCATATTGCATAACTCAATTTCTTTACATAAATATGTATATATCTATATCTATATCACAGATACACATACATTTGTATTATATGTATCTTATATATGTGTTTGGGTGTGCATGTATAACCTGCTAGTTCTGTTTCTCTGGAGTTCTGTTTCTAATTTATAAAGCTTCTTAGCTATAACTCTTTGCTAGTAGATGGGTGTAAGTTCTGTGGTTGTTTTAGGGATTTGTTTGTTTGTTTGTTTGTTGTTTATTTATTTATTTTTGTTTTATAGATGTGGGGTACCCTTCAGGATTAGGTATATAAGTGATCATGATATAGGTAAAATTTGGGCCTCCCTTTAGTTCTCAATTTGCCTGATGCTGTAGAGTTTATAATATCCATCTAACTAAGAGAGGTGTGGAATCAGCAGCATTTGCCATGATTCACCAAAGAAGCAACAATATGCACAGAGAGAAAGAATGGAAAAATGAACACTTTAGGTTGGAATTAGCCTGCCTTGCCTGGACCATGGCACAAACCCCAGGCAGTCTTTGGATACAGCAAGAAGTGGGTGAGGAGATTTCAGGAGTTCTGGCTCCTGCCATTTACGTAGAAGCCCCCCAGTGTCTCATGTGCCTCCAATCCTTTATAGTAAACTGCTTTACCACAAAGATGCTCTGATGAAACCCACATGGAGTGATGCAGAAAAAAAGACCTAAGCAGCACCAGCTGCTACATACCGGGCAACTCAACCCTTCCTGCAGTCTGCTTTCTAGCTGGCCTGGGAGGGAATGGGCTGAGGGCAAATTCTGCTGTAGCAGCTGGTTCCTAGCTGTTGCAGGTTACTGAGAGAATACCTGAGGTCAGCTGCACTTAGCCTCAGCAAACTTCCTATGGAAGTGCAGTTGACCTCAGGTATTGAGGGAGGCAGGGGATTGAGGGAGGCTATTTTCCATACCAAACTTTCATTCTCCATAGAAATTCTGCTGTGCAGCCTCTACACAACACAGCAATATTATCCTGAGGTTGGGAGATTCTTTCCCAATCCCTGCTAGGGTAGCTAATCCAGCACAAAAGTGAGAAGTTTGAGTGCTTTTCCCCAATACTTCCCTACAATGCTCAAGACAGACAGAAATCTTGGGTAATTATCAAATCCCCACCCACTATCTAGTTCAGAGGGATACATCTAGAGGGACAACACAGGCCAAACCAAAAGCCAAAACATTATTGCAACTGGCTGTCTCCCACAAGTGCCATCTTCTGACTGGAGGTCAACTGGCAGAGCCCATTACACTGGATATAATACCTCATCTTAGGGGAAGGTCTGATACCAGACTCCAACTAACACCACTATCCAAGTCACTCCAGCCATTCAAAATGCCTTGAACCTCTATAGGTAGCTAAAATAACACCACAGCTGGTAATTGAAAAACTCACCACACTAAGATTATGTACAATCAAGGGGACTCTACAGTTCCTATGACAGCCCCCGCCAATACCAAATAATAAGATATTTTCTACCCAACGGACTAGTAATAACAAAAACATGACAAACTCTGTAAAATATATATTTTTTAATTTTCAATCTTAAAGAACTGGGGTACAATTCAGGGCTAGGTATACAAATGTTCATTATGCAGTTACCTTTGTTGATGAGCTGTGCCCCTCACTTCCCTTGGCAGTTTCCCAGTACTGTCAATCTGTAAAATGTCTAAGATAGCTTATTCTTGAACCAAACTTGAGGACTTAAGTGCAGGAACAACCATTGTCAGAAGGTCCTGAGAATGAGTGTCCACTGTGGTTGAATAATGGTTTGATTATATACATTTATGAAAGGCAAAAGTTACAGGAAACCATAAATCAATACGTGTGATAATTTCATTTATTTGTCCCAGGAGGGAGGGCATTTCCTTGTGAGGGCTTGCAGGTCACGAGTGAACTCAAAGATTTCAGATTGGTAATTTGTAGTTTCTGTCTAAGGGAATTGGGAAATCAAGAGAGGAGATGCTTTGTTAAAATAAGAGAATAGAAAATTTCAGGTTTTTTGACTTCTGGCAAGATGGCAATGAGGCAGCTTGGTCTGTGAGACTCTCCACCGAGGAGAACACAAAAAGACTTTGGTTCTCTCCCTGGAGGCTGCAGCTCCCATCATTGGCAGACTGCTCTTCATATGGAGCTCGGCCGTAGACTTCACTGAGGCATCACCACGGTCTGGGCAGCAACTATGGCTGCCGCTGTACCACTGCTGCCTCAACCAGTGGCCATTCCACATCACACCGCCAGTGCCTGAGGTGAGCTGCAGCCGCCACCACTACCAACTCTGAGGCAGCCATTACACATCACACCACCTGTGCCTGAGGTGAGCCACTGCTGCCACTGCTGCCATTCCACATCGAACCATCAGTACCTGAGGCAAGCCGCAGCCGCCGCCACCAAGGCAGCCATTACACATCGCACCACCTGTACCTGAGGCGATCCACGACTTCAGACCTTGAAGCCCCTGCGAGCAAGATCTGCTGAGGTCTACTACCACTGTGAAGTCCTGCCAGGCTGTGGGTCTTCTCACATGTGCCTTGAGGCAACATCTACCTCCCCTTAGGGGCAGGAGAGCATGAGATAAAGACCCTCTGGAGTGAGGGATAACACCACCTGCTGGTGATTCAAGGTAACAACACCAAAAGGGGGAAAATGGAAGCCTGACAGACACAGGCCAGATCTGAGTGGTGAACAGGCAGTTGTGAACAGAATGATGATCTGAACTGCCCTTCACAACAAGCCAGGGGCAATTGATCCAAACTGAGAACAAACTTACCAGTCTGAAAAGATAGCTAGAAATCAGAGCTGAAAGGACATTCGAATTAAACAAAAAGTCTCAGAGAGTGCTCGATTGGTTCTCTTAGTCTACTGACTTGATTCTATTCCTTATGTTTTGTTCCCCCCTTTATTTCCTCCTTCTTTTCCCTTCTTTTCTTTTCCTCTATCCGTAAACATTATGTTTGTATAAAGAAATAACACACCAATAAGGAGGTGGGTAAGCTTGTATGTTAGCAACATTGTATGTTTTAGTTTTTTTTTGGTATGGGAGTTGGTTAGTTTGT